ACACACACACACCTAAGCACATGCACACACACAGCTGTGTTACAATCTAACTGTAACTGTATGCAAAGCATTTAGAAACACTTGCAGGCAACTTTGAAAGACTGGCTACAAACAACCTGAAAACACTCATTTACTTTATTTGTGATTTTAAGCATGAATACAAAATAATATTTCCACATATGCCAGGCCGAGTAAATATTTGGTGCAACATATAATAAACAGTAATAAATAGAATAAGCACGGGTCCTAAATGAAGTTGGGTTATAAAGAAAGCATAATTAAAAAGTAGTGGCAAATAAAATGCTCACATTAGAAGCAGAATAAAAACCTTGAGCGTAATAAAAGCCGTCATAAAAAGCAAGTTTACATCTAGAAGTCACAGGTTCTGGTTTTCTTGGTTTGGCAGATATTCACAGCCTTGTTGTCCTGGACTGAACGCTCCTGTTCTCCCTGACTGCAGCAGAGCGAACAGGATGTGAGAACGATGGGAGGGATCATTTTTGATGGCTCGCCAGTAGCGATATTAAGGTCACAAACAACGCTTAATGCTCTCTGTCGTATCTGTTGACATGGTTACATGTCAGTAATTCTCAGTGAATATAAAACAACCACACCTTCTCAGACCTCATATTCAGAGGAAAAGAAGGGCCATTGTTGTGCAAGACCTCAAACTGGAGTAATGTATTTCCCCAAAAGAAGCCAAATTAACTGGTTTGTTTGTTGTTTGTTACTCCAAAAATCCCCTGCTAATGGTTGTATTTATTTTGTTTTCAGTATGAAAAATTACAGGTAATTCAATTTAACTGGGCTTGTGCCTAAACTAGAAACTGGGGGAGGTGTAAAGTTTACATAAAGACGAATATTTTTAAGTGTGACTTCTCAGTTTATCTATTTAAAAAGTTATAATTAATCTCTGTCTTTGTCCTGTCTTCCTCCCGTCACCCTCAAACGGTCGCAGCTGATGAGTAACCCTCCCTGGCTCTGCCAAAGTTTTCTTTGTGTTGAAAGGGAATTGTTCCTTCCCACTTTTGCCAAAGTGCTTGCTCATAGTGTAAGTGACTCAAATTATTCAGTCATTAATGTTGTTTTTAGAAGACAAAGAACAAGTTTTGGTGTAAGGGTAAGTGATTGCAGATTGTTTTCATAGTGTGGTGTAGGACAGCTTTAAAAACCTAAATCTAAAGTCTAAAGTTTAGATTTTTTTGTGATTAAATGCAGATGCAAGTATCTTATTTGTTGGTTATTATAAGCAGTAATAAAAATGGGGGTTTAAAAAGAAAAAGAAATGTAACAGACTGAAGAAACAGAATTCTGACATTTGCTGAATGGAAAAATCTGCGTTCAAGTTTTTCCATCTGAAAAAGTGGTGACGCCACTAACATTAACACCAGCCGTTATCAACCTGCTGTGGTGATGTCAGTGGTTTTATGGCCCCCACAGCCAGTAATAGCAGACCTGGGGCAGACTGCTCGGGAAAACAGGAGGGTTATTTGAATAATCTCACACGAGTCCCACAAAGGTGTGAAAACATTAGAAACAGAATCACAAGTTTTATTTGTGTAACTAAGTGAAGTTAGCGAGAAGACACCGAAATTCTTATTTTGATTTATTTATTTTTGCATCACCTGTTTTGCATCGTCATGCCTCACATGCAGAAGCGTGAATGGGCCCGGACAAGATACAGACACATACAACATAAAAAAGATTTGAATTGTCTGGGAGAATATGCAGCGCATTAAACCAACGACCTACTTTTGGATCCCCCCAAGAGAATATTACCTTTTTTAGAGGAAATGAAAGTGATTTAAGGAAAAAGCAGCAGAGCTACAATGATAAAATATCTGATGTGTTGTCAGTAATAAAGCTCAGAGCCACAACTCTTATGGAGAGCTGCTTAGTGACTCACTGCAATCAGTCCTGGCGTAGTATTACACCACCACTGATACTCCAAGAGGAAAAAACCTCAGCAGTGATGTCAACGTCCTGTCAGCCTCGCTTCTAGAGAATCAGGAAGTTAGAAAAGAAAATGTGGTGCTGTGTAGCCATCACCTGAAGAGAATATATGAAGCACTAACCAAGAATTCTACGAATGATTCTATGTTGAGCATGACTACTATCACCAAAACAAAGCAATAGCAGCACAATTCATTCTCTTTGTTAATGAATATTAAAATAACAAGAAATGTAATTTAGATTAATCCGATAAACCAGCTTCGGTTTGATTAAACAGATAAAATGAGAAACTAGTGGGACAAATAAATGTAACAAGACAAGGATCTAAAGAGATGAAGTTGTTCTCCAGAAGAGGAAAGCCCTTCACAGCGGAAGTGAAGCCGGACAGTTTTTTATAACCTCGCCATAACTCTCCCTTTGTTGTTGTAAAAAAATAAAACTGTCTGGGATTTTTCTGAGCCCATCTCCATGGTTACACTAAAGCACATTTATACATAACACACCTCAAGGCAGCAATAAGAACACTTAAATGCTAATCAATAGTAAAGCTGTTCTGTAGTGCAAACATTCCCGTTGCTACAATTATGTAGGAACGCTGCAGCGAGGAGAGGAAAGGTGTGAGTGATAATCATGGAATTTTTTAGCTCTGGCCTCTTTCTTATCAAACAGCAGGTTTCACCGCTAACAAAAGGAAATATGACCATTCACCACTCCCCTTTTTTATGAACACAATCCCCTGTTTTTAATGGATCCTAATAGTCACTGTATTGTGAGCTGCTGGTGTAAATAAATTGCACTCTGTCCCTCTTCTCTCTACTGTTATCCAACCTGTTGCCTCCACCTGCAACCAGCGCTCATGTGTGAGGAGCAAAAGGAAAGGCCAAAGTCTGTACCTACACTACAATGCCCCCTGTAGGATTATAAAAAAGAGAGACAAGGCAATGATGATTCTGTGATTCTATGCATGCAATTTTTACAAAGTTATGAAAGTAATTTTAATAATATTGCAAAATAGCTGCTCGATTAAGAGCACGGAGGTGTTTCAAGATGGCTGAGGCTTGCTTCTAGAAGAACTTTGCCAAGTGCCAAGTTAGGAAGCCAGCATGACTGAGGACAGGAAACACACAGGAAAAATAAACACACCACGTACTCCTCAGATGGTTTATGCTGTTAATTTTCATTTTTGTGTGGGTTTATCTCATTTTTATGACTATGAATGAGGCCTTCTGTCTCAACACCAGATGTCATGCGGAAGAGGTTTACTTTGCTTTCAGGCCAAAAGAGCTGGAATCTAAGAGCAATGCCCACAATGACGGTGAATGAATTCAAATAACCGTCTTTGTGATGCCTGTGGGTTGCAGGAAATGCTACCACGGGCAACAACTGGCCAGTGGTTCACAGTTTGAGAACCCTGGAACGAAGGGTTCACGTGCAGTTTGAGTGAGTGACGGAAGACGAGTTAACACTAAAACTCAAACCGCAGCAGAAGCCACAGTCAAACAAATGTGTTCATTTATTTGTTATTGTGGGAACACGGCAGAGAAATATACTGGAAACATGGCACTCAAAGAAATTTACCATTCATATGCTAAACCTAAGTATTAAATAATACATCAAAATACCTGCCAAACCCAGAGGCATTTCAAGATGGCCACCAAGTGGTGTAAAACATTTGGCATGTGAAATCAATGCACTTCAAATTAAAAGATACAAAATATGTATTTGGGTTCACATCATTGTTTTATTCTGTCAGGTGATCCATCAGGCCCACAGCAGAGAGAGACATGGGAACACTGCCGTGTAAAACTGTTAACCAGCCTCTTTATTTTGTGGCTGTGCAAACACCTTCAGGGCTTTGTCTGGAGTTTATCGTCAGTCCTGCTTAAAACTGTGCACAGCTGCATAGGAGCTAGGAAGAAACAAAGACAGGCATGCACACGTTTTACACTATTAGATATGCTGACAAAGCTAGTAAACAAGAAGAAATGTATTAGTATTACTATTACAACTGAAACCATACATGTAAAGTAACAAGAGATTTGGCTAGTTGGATTTATGTCAGCTGATGTGGGTATATTTTTGTTAATTTCATTTATGTTGCTATTTACCTCTTTTGGTGATGAAGAAAGAGGTTTTCATGCTTACTTTTAAACACATATGCACTGCAGTGCACTTTATTCCATATCCTTAAGGCCAGATTAGAATCGCCAAATAATCTAACATGCATGTCTTCAGAGCCTGAGCACCTGCAGGAGGCTCATACAGGCACATGGAGAACAGAACAGAAGATCCAGGCCCAGAACACTCTGCCCTGAGGTGCCAGCCCTAAATATAACCCCACAGAAACTGTAACACAACATGTGACTAGTGCCGCACCAGTCATTGTGAAACACGGAAACTATGCATAAGACAGTAAAAAAGGATCAAGAACCCCCAGAAGATATAGGGCTCAAACTAAATGAAAATGTGGAAAGTGCAATTATCTGTTCTCTCCTGCATAAAACTGAGGGGTCACAAGCTTAAGTCAAACACTGATAGCTTATCTCAGCTAGAAGTATGCAATACAGCATGTGACCTGATCCTTCAGTTAAAACTAAAGTCTGCAAAAATCACCTGTGTCAGAAGAGAAAAAGAACCGCAGTGCAACTGGCGGATGGATATGAGGAGATAAGTCGTTAGACCTCAGCTCACAAAATCGTGCCTGCTTCTTTCTTCGGCTTCTGCTGTAGAAGGTCAAAAGCTTTAAGGTAACATGCTCTGAATCCATCCCAGTATTTCAGTACGTTTTTTAAGGGGGTTAGCGTTTGTGTTTATTCTTCTTACCACCTGGTGGAGCTGCAAACCCTGTAACACTTCACCCAGTGGACAAGCCTTTAATGTCCTTATAAATTCATTTTCTTTAAACGTCAATCCTTCACTCGGGTAGGCGCTTTCTCTGTGTTATTTGCGCCATCTCGTGGTGAAAGGGGAGAATTACATTACAGTAAGGCCGATATAGTACGTCACGTGAAAACGCCACTCTAATTGGTTGAATTGCACGGATCACATGACCTGCTCACTCATGTAGCCAAAACGGCAGTGAAACAAAACAAGTGCTGTAAAAGTGTTTCTCTTTATGTATTTCCGTGCATCTAACAATGAATATTAACCGTAAATGCCACTGTACGTAAACTGCACACGTCGTCGTTGCTGTGTGAGGGACTGTAAGCAACCTGGACGCATAGTAGCAGGTGGGTTAAATGTTCTTTAGAGCTTATAGCGAACTGTTTTTGTTTTGCATCGTCAGCGACTCTCCGTCGGCTCACTAACACAGATCCAGGCTACAGTGTTTGTTAGCAGTTTGGGAGTTTAAACAAAGACTTTTCCCTCATCGTAAATTAATTCGTGCTTTACTTAATGTGTAGTTTTTAATTTATTTGATCTTTGCCGAACTCCAGAGTGACCCACATTTACCTACTTTCATGTTTTAGCCTCCTGCTGGCTAACCACACTTGTGTTGTCTAAGTCAAACGTCAGAAAATGGTTACAGTCGTCTTATTCATGTGAGGTAATTTAGTGATTTAGCAATCCTTGCACTCACTGACACACTCGCTACAACTTGAGCTAAAAATCTCGAGTCACTTCTTCCTCACCGAGTTATTTTCTCTAATTCTAATTCATTTGTTCCTCTGCGCAGATGCACAAACTCTTCTTTGTCCACTGCTAACAGATGCAGTTCGAGCCGAGGGGCTTTTGGGTTTGCTTTATTAAGTACAGTTAAAATAACAAAATTAAATATGGTGCTATAACAGTATGACACTTAGAGCTGACCTGTAGTTTCAACATGTTCCAGACTCGAGTTTCTTATAATGATGTTCCAGCATTGTTCAGTGTGTCATGTCCCACAGAAGGCACAGGAGTTTGACATAAGTCCACTGAGATCACAGAGTGAGTCTGCTCAAAGCAACTCAAGTTTATTCTCTCTGTGATTCAGCTCCAAAATTTCACCTCAGAAACAGAAGAGCACTGTCTTTATCCTGCCACCATGCCAGTGTACATAGCAGGAACATGAAAACACAATATTTTGTTCCACTTTGTGCCCACTTTGTACTCTGCTTACTTCAAACTGGGAAACTGTAGTAGGTCAGAGGTTTCCCTGCTTCAGAAGAGGACTTTGTAGGAGACTATATACAAATAACAGCAATTGGTCATTATCAAAACAAAGCATCTGTGTGACCTTAAAAGAAGTCGATGCATTTTCATCTTATTTTTGGTAATTTTATAAAGCAAAAAAAAAAAAGAGGTTGAAAAGTTGTTGTTTTTTTGTTGTTTTTTCTATCATGGTCTTAGTGAGTTTCATTGTATGGAACTAACAAAATTTTGTTTGTAAACTACAGGTTTTTTTTGTACGTTTTAGGTATTTTGGCCAGTTCAATGCTATTATGCTTCTTCTAAACCAGCAACTTGAAAAGGACTAAACAGTGTACTTGATTTATCAGACAGCAGATGTATGAAATTTACTTGAACGTGCAAAGCAGCTTCTCTTTCTGTGGTTTGTTTAAGTAAAATTTTAAAAACTTCTGAACATCCACCAGGTCACCAGCAAAACTCGTAGTGTTCTTCTCGTGTTTCTTAGATGCATTTGGCCCTTAAACATGTTCTGTTATTAGATTTTAACATGTCAAAGCTAGTAAAATTTACAATTTGATACAAACAAAACACTCAAAGACTCTTTGTGTAATGAAGTCAGGGCCATTTTGCTTTTAGCGTGTTAGCAATAATTCAGCATTTACATTCATTCATCTGCTTTTTCTTAATTTAAGAAATTTCTCCATATGCTTAAAAAAAACAACAACAGCGTGTGAAACTAAAATATTAGTCACGTGTTCCTCTCTGACCAGAAATATGTCTCTAGCAGGAAATGTGTTTCCCGTCTTTGAAATCATTTTTCAGGAAGAGTCGGTTACCTGAAATATGTCCTGTATGTTAAAGAGCTTGTTTGTGACTGAGCTTTATAAGGAGCGCAAACTTCCAGTGGCCTGAAGTGTATAAATGTGTTCAGTGTGTTATATTAAAAGTTCAAAATGATGCGGTTGTTTTAATTGACTTTGGAGTAATGTGTATTACAAACTAGCTATCAGCCATCGCACTGTGCTGTAATGTAATAGCACTTATAGTGGGAGTAGTAGAGAAATATCTTGGTGCAGGTCGGACAGCCTGTATAGCAGTATGTCTGTGATAGACCACAATAGGCTCTGCTTTCATAAAAACTTTCATAAGTGTGACTTGAAAGATTTCCAAATATTTGTGCATGACTCAGAGCTAAAATGCTTTTGCTTCACAATGCAGTATCACATGCTTCTTTGACTCTTGTGACTTCCAGCTCAGCGATATCGCAATTTTACCAAGTCACAGCACTTCCTGTCTTTGATGTAGTCAGATCTCGTAAAGAAGCATCACATTCTGTCTTTATCACGTTTTTGTGTTTAATCAGATTTGATTTCAGTACAAAATACACTAATCCTTAATCTCTGTACTTGTAAGTTTGTGGGGGTCCTTTTTTCTAGCTGCTAGCTGTAAGCTCAGAGGCCCTGTCACCCTGCAGGCAGCTTTTCAGCAGCTGGAGCTGTCTTTGTGCTGGAGATGGTGCAGTTCATTCTGTGTATGTGGTGGTGAAAACACCTAGAACCTTCTCTTTGTTGAGTGTGTAAAGGACAAGCTGAGGTGTGTGTCCCACGTTTGGTTGTGTTTGAGGCTGCTGTGTTGTTGAAAACTACACTGCTACTTTAAGTTACTGACAACCTCTTAAGAACGATAGAAACTGTGCAGGTCCGTCCTTTCTCAAAGCCATGTATCATTAAATAGCATTAAATGAATATCCACTGCTGCTGGTTCTGTTTACAGATATCATTACAGCCAAAACTTGGAATGAAATGTTTTTAAGCCGTGTAGCAAAGTTTCCTTGGGTGCAGCTTCGGGATTGGTTGAGTCATCTTGTATTTACCCCTGAAACATAATGACTTGAAGTAACGTTTGTGTTTTGTTCCTCTTGTTTGGTCTCAGAGCTGCAGAGCAACACAGTGAATGTGAGCTGACAGGACGGAGCTCATTTCTTCCGTGAACATGAAGACCGGCATCCCGTACCACCAGGTAAAGTTCCTTTAATATGTGGGCTTCATCAGTGTACAAACATCCTAGTTTTTAATCATTTCCTGATGCGGTTTTAATATTTATTTAAGTTACTTATTACTTAATTATTTATTACTTACCTTCACTGTATTCTTTTCTTTCACATTTTTTAAATCAAATGTCGCCCCTTTGATGTGAGACAAAGTGATTAATGATTTTGCAATCACTGGTCACTGTGCATAGAAAATTAAGTGGTCAGTTATAAAGCTGTGTACAGTGGTCTCTCGCTATGACGCGGTTCACCTTTCGCGCCCTCGCTGTTTTTTTAAACAAGAGAGAAAAGTGTGAAAATGTTCATGCCTGTCTGAGAAAAGTGTATAAAGTGTGTAGTGACGGGTTTTACAGCCTTGAAGCGTCTATAATAACTGTAAAAAATAACATTGGCTACTTTGCGGATTTCACCTGTCGCGGGTTATTTTTAGAACGTAACTCCTGCGATAAACGAGGCGCCACAGTATAGTCAAGGTTCTGTTTTGTTGTGAAAAATATCCCAAGCATGTTGCTGGGGTTTGGCCACGTCGTTGTTTTTCCTGTAATGTTGCAGACGTGCCGAATGCTGGAAGTCAAGGGAATTTTTAAATCATGTGAGGAAGTGAAGCATTGTGTTTCAGGAAGTGCTTTTGCTTTAGGTTTATATTGACTGCAACTGCTTAAATTAAATGATGTTACTCGTTTTTTTAATGACAGCATTTGGTGAATGAGTGCCAGTTTAGGAAGCTGGCAGACGTAGAACTCTTTTCCTTTGTGTGTTCAGAGAATGATGGTTTTTCCATGACTTTAGCGGGTGCTAGCAGTTACTGAGGGGGCGATTTTGAGACCGTGGATGTCTGGTATGATAGAGGTTTATGGTTCAGTCTGGATCGAATGTTCTCACAGTGTCCTTGTGTGGTGGTTGGGTTTGTGTGTTAGCTGGAGGATGAGTCCCGGGGACAAGAATCCAACAGGAGAACACAGGTGGTGAGTTAGAGCACTAACACACAAATACACCTGACTTTTTACTCGTCAATATAAATAAATCGCAATGATTTTTTCAGTTTATGTCAAAAATAAAGACAGAGAAATAAACACTGAACAAGAGCTGCAGATTCTAAGGACGTCTCCTCCTCCCTCCTCAGTATTACAGGTGTTTGATAGCTCTGGCCACTGTGGCTAGTGTGCTGCTGGTCATCATGGCGCTCTGCAACCTCCTGATACCGAGGGCCTCCTCTTCCTCTTCCCACCCTGTTCCCGACATCAGCCTCCGTCTGCCTAACATGGAGTCCTGCACAGATCCCTGCAGGTAAGTTTACTTTAGAAACCAACACCTGCTTCCAGCTTAATCTGCGTATGCAGAAGAGTTCAATATCCAGGAAAACAAAAAGCTTTTTAAAACCTTATTTGATGACAAAGCCAGCAAACTTTCTTACTTTTTATCAAATTTGACTGATGATTCAGCTTCATACCAGTAATAGAAAATTACTTAAAGTGCAGATTCTTGACTATACATGAAACAGCATCTTCATTACTATCCATACTCTACCCAGCCTCTTCTATAACATAGCTAAAGTTTAAAGCTTAGTTAAACTATCTGCTTGACATGAATTCATGTAATTTCATTTTTCTTGACGTTGGACGTTTAGGAAAAAACTCTCCCACTCTTCTCTGTCTCCAGGATCGTGTTGGTGGAGAGCATTCCCGAAGGCCTGGAGTTTAACTCCAGCACCACTCATCCATCCATCTTCCAGGCGTGGATGAATCTGATGAACGAGGCTCGCAGCAGTGTCGACATCGCCTCCTTCTATTGGACCCTCACCAACAAAGACACACACACTCGTGAGCCGACAGCCAATCAGGTCAGCTGGAGTTGTCTGCGGTTTTCTTTTTCTCTTTTCCTCTAATATTAGATTATGCTGAAGAATGATTGATTATTAATTGATGCAAAGTGCTTTTAATTGTGCCGACTGACCTTGATCTAAAGCAGTTATTGTGAAACAACCAGATAACTGGTCCCTGATTTTCTCGCCGTGCTCACAGGGTGAGGCTGTTCTGAACAGGCTCGCTGAACTATCGGGGAATTTATCAGTTCGTATTGCTGTCAACACACCGCAGGAGAAACAGCCACGGCACGACCTCAGGCTGCTCAACGACTCAGGTGACTCTTGGCTTCTTTTGAACGTCACACCTGCACGGGTCAGACTGATCTGACAGCTGTCTTAGTTATTATGAAATTAGTTTAATACACATATTGTGATGTCTCACTGTGTGTGGGACATCATATGACGTCTGTGAGCCTCTTATCGACACTTGTGTTAAGTTGGTTGGTTGTGATGGGAGTTATTTAGCTGCGACATTAACAATAACTCTGGTATTGCAACATACAACTATGCATAAGCACCATTTTTTGTTTTTATTTCTTTGTTTTTGTTTTTTGGTGCATAAGACTGATAAACATTCTGATTTACAAAATGGATTATTCTGAGATACTGAGTGTCACTTCCTTCTGTCTAAAATCATCTAAAATGAATATGTTATGTTCATTTATCATTGTCCAGTATTGCTTCCAAAATGCTTCCAGCCCTCAGAATTGTTAGTTTTTAGGAAATAAGTGTTTGTTTTGTGTGACTTTTAGGAGCCCATATTAGGACCGTAAAAATGAAGGAGCTCACCACAGGCGTTCTTCACACCAAGTTCTGGGTTGTGGACAAGCAGCATATTTACATTGGCAGTGCCAACATGGACTGGAGGTCCCTCACACAGGTACACAAACACTCAGACTCTCTCTCTCACTGTCATGTAAATGCTGTTAGAGGTGGATGCTCAGTACAGTCGGTGTGTTTAAAGGTAAACAGAGCAAACTTATCAGTATATTTATTATTAAACAGTTCTTTCTACTCTTGACTTGGTGTGGCGTTAAAGGGAGTGGATGTCCCTCTGCTTAAGCACCTACCTCTGAATATGAGAACAGCAGCACTGCCCACCTGCCCATCAGGGCGGGGGCATCCAATCAGAAGAAAGGTGGCCCAGACCTTACGTGGGATTCTCTCTTCAAAAGCTAAAAAAAGTCCACACACCCACTCCCAGCAACCGTTAACAATAAGAAAGAATCAAAAGTTCAGCACGTTTAATAATTTTCCCTAAAATATATATATATATATATATATATTTAAATCAGCATGGTCTGTATATGCTCAAAAATCTATTATTTTATTATATTTACATTAGCTTCACTTTCTTCACCAGCACTGGGTCTGTGCACAACAATTTGTGAACTAACGGCTTAACTGGAACAGTGGGGAGGGGGTCTTAAAGTAGAAAGCAGTTTATTTCACACAGGATGAATTACGGGGCTCCACCAGTAAGAATCATCTGAAGCTTCTCTAACAGGCCTGTAAATCTATAAACAGCGTCAGTGTCGGTAGTCCCGCCCGAATACTGACACTGACTCTGTCCCATTTCTTCTGCTTTCAAGAGGAAGTTTTTATGTTGGTATAAAGTTTCAGTCACATGCTGAACTGTTTAGTCTACACTTGTTTAATGTGGGACCATCAGTGTGGTAAACCACATCTCCCTTTTACATTTCTCAATCAGACTTTTGCTGAGCTATCATTCGCATCCTTTTTTTACAAGCTTGCGCTAAAGTCCCAGAAACATATTTCTGATAAATTAATCAGAAAAGATACCGGCTTAACAGTAGGCCAAAGAAATCTAAACTGGGACAAAAGAGAAGGAACAACTTTTCTTATTTCCTCTTTGTTTTCTGCAGTTTCAAAAATGCAAAACCAGCAAAAAACGAACGTAAGTAATGTTCTAGTGTTGGTCTCCAGGTGAAGGAGCTGGGTGTGGTGGTCTACAACTGCAGCTGCCTGGCAGCAGACCTCAGTAAGATCTTTGAAGCCTACTGGTTTCTGGGGGAGAGCAAGTCAATCCCATCACCTTGGCCAGAGAGGTTCTCCACCATGTACAACAAGGATACACCCCTCCAGCTGCCTCTTAACAACACGCCATCCAACGTCTATCTGTCGGTGAGCGGGATTTTCTTTTGATATTGAGTCATAAGAGCCAGTTAATCATCTCTAAGCAGTTTTAAGGTTTGCTTTCTGACCAAATGGGAAATAACTGGTGTTTGTAGATGGTCACATCATGCAGAGAGAGGGACATTTTCAGCGTTGCGCTTGTATACATGCAACGTGCAACCACAATTTGTCACTTGTCACAATTTGTGACTTTCTGACTCCTCTACAGTTGGCCATCAGTACTGAAAGAAGATGTGAATGCTTGGTTTCTGTTACAGTCACAGAAGTGGGCAGATATCGACACCTCTTTCAGGGCGATGCAGGGCCGGGGGATTCCAGAGCTGTTCGAAAACAATGTGCAGCACAGAGTTTTGGTTTCTGTTACAGCACTCACGTTTCCAGGATTCAACATTCAAAACCTTTTTAAAATGTAATGTTTTTTTTAATACAGTCCCACTGAGGCTACTAAATCAACCCACAGTCCCACATAGCCGCGCATTCGTCCAGTCATTACTGTGCATTTGTAGTTTAGCATATTGTAGTTTTCTGTATTTTAAAAAATGCTGCTAAAATGAACTGATAATCCTTTTTTCTGCTCGATCAGAGTTCCCCTCCGTCCTTATGTGCGGCCGGCAGGACTCCAGACCTTCAGTCCATCCTCAGTGTGATGGAGGATGCTGAGAGCTTTGTCTACATCGCTGTCATGAACTACCTGCCCACCATGGAGTTTTCACATCCTAAAAGGTGCAGTTTTGTTAATAGTTGTGAAATGTAACTACAAGAAAACAGTTGATCGTTGTTTTGTTTTTCTTTTTCTTTTATGGTCCTACATCAACTGTAGTCAAATCAACAGTAATAAAATTAATATGAACATGTTTGCACAATAAAACACCAGGATATCCTGATCAAATCATCCCGAAAGGAAGTGAGAAACATTAAGTTTTAACATTGTGCTTGTACTGTGCGTGTGGCGCCCTCTGCAGGTACTGGGCGGACATCGACACGCAGCTGAGACGAGTTGCATATGAGAAGCGGATTAAAGTGCGACTGCTGATCAGCTGCTGGAACAGCACACAGCCAGTCATGTTTTCTTTCCTGAAGTCTCTGGCCTCGGTTTATAACCCCAAGAATAACCTCGACATCCAGGTGGTGAGTGGCTCTTATGGTCAAGCATCATCTCCCGCTGGGAAAGGAGGTTGTACGCTTTATGGCGCCTATCCTTAAGTAAAAACATTATGTTATGACTTTGTGTTTTCTTTATTTAGAGGCTCTTCGTGGTGCCTGCCACCCCCAAGCAGAAGGAGATTCCCTTTGCAAGAGTTAACCACAATAAGTACATGGTGACAGACAAGATAGCATACATAGGTGAGGCACACTTTCTTTGTTTACTAATAAATTTGTTTCTTGAAATCATTAAGATGACTTAAAGAGTACACATAGAGAACCTTTTCAATCAGTTTCAATGACCTATCTTACAGTTTCAATTAATCCCCCAAAAAACAGAAAAATGTGATTTTCATCAAGATGAGAAAATACATCATGATACTGAAATTGAATACTTGTTGGTGGTGTTAAAAGCCAAGCTGATGGCTGCTTTTCTAAGCATGTCATTAGTCACACATACTTTATTATCATCTGTCCAATCAGTCTTTCAGAAAAAAAAAAAGATAATGTGCTTAAATATAATCTGTGGCTTTCTGTTTTCAGGTACATCCAACTGGTCAGGAGACTACTTTGTGAACACGGCTGGCTCAGCATTAGTTGTCAACCAGACGGCGTCACAGTCTGTTGAGTCAACTGTCCAATCACAGCTGAAGGCTGTCTTTGAGAGGGACTGGAACTCGGGCTACAGCACTCCTCTCACCCAGCACTCAAACCTCAAAGACTTCTGTTACTTTTAACAGCATTACAGACACACAAAGTCATTGTTTCGGACTTCGACACAGCGCACTTTGATTTTAGTAGTGAAGTGCGAAACGTATGAAAATTGATCAGCTGTAATGTGGAAACCCCTGAGCTTAAAATCAGCAACAGGCAACCTATTAGCAGAGTGTTTGCTAGACTGCTGAGGTTTAATGCCGCACTCTTATTTCATCAGAAAAAAGAGAGAATACAGACAGTTTTTTAAAGAGAGTCCAACATATGCTCTGTATTTTAGGCCGGTTTTAAGTAACGTTGAAGCTGATCTGTTAGCTCGATTTTATCCAAGCATCTTTGTCTGCCTTATGGTCTGTAAGTTTTCACACCAGCATTCACATGGATACAAAAAACATGAAACAGGCTAATACTGGCTGGATATGTTAAGCTCAACTTTCAACTACATTTGGCTGGTATCACAGTGTTATAATATACTGATGTACTTACAAACCCCAAAAGTTTGATTGCCAAAAATAGCACCAAAAACAGTTGCTTTTCTTTATTCTTAAACTGGTACAGAGATGCCAATTTGAGGCCATTTTTTTGTGCACTACAGAAATATGCCAACAGAAGTTGGGAATATTCAGATGAGCTCAGTGAGCTGTGAAATATGCCAACTGCAGGAAGTATTTAGGAATTTTTAGAGTTCATTTACATGCACAGCATGGGCAAAGGTGTATGCAGGATTAGTTTGTAGATATTTGCAGATGAAGACGTTAACACGTCTCGCATTATATTTGTCAGTGTGAGCAGGACCTCCTGCAACAATCTGTGGGTGAAGGTAGTGGTGTCCCTGATCTTCTCAGCTGCTGATTTCCTGATAGATTAAATGTAAATATATATTTAGATCAGTAAACACTCAGGGTGTGGTGAAGGTTTGCAGTCTTGTTTCCTTCTAGGTTACAGTCCACGTGTCTGTGCAGACACTGGTCATGCAGTGATGGGTCCAGTGGTTGTGTCTTTTTGTTCTGACGCAGCCTGCATACAGAAGTGTTTTCTTTTCTTCAGTGCCTCAAAGACTGCAGCCTTGAGTAATGAGGGGTAGCTGCAGTGAGTCTGTGTTATAGATTGATAACATAAATAATTCATTCAGCATATTAGTATTTCTTGAAGTGAGAGGAGTAAAGTTTGTTTAGTCAGCAAATCACTCACATCCATAGCTGCAAAGGTTTGTATGATCAGCAGCTTTTTGTACTGTCATATATTGTATATACCAGGAAACGTTATGATGGGATAAAAACATGCACACAAATGCACACCATATCTACTGTTAAAGGTGTTCCAGCAGTATCGGAGCAAAGGAGTCAGACATGAATGTTTAACTTTCATCATGTGGTTTCTATCATGTACTCCCAATAGCTGTAGGGGGCGCTGTGTCAGCATTGGCGTCAGGTCAGTGGCGAACGTCATGTTTTCTGCTGTCTCCTGCAGTGACTCGTGTAAAGGGATCAATTCAGTGAATCACAGCTTCAGCCTCGGTGGGAGTTTTCATCTCAGGGAGTTTGAGTGCTTTTGTAATTTTCTGGAATTTAAAATCATTTAAAAATCCTCTCTGGACTGCTTTGAAATAAGCAAATAAAAGCTAAAGTCTGCAGTGCATCTAAGGGAAATAAAAACTTCTTTCATACCACTCCAGTGCAAAATAGTTTTTTCACACACTGATCACAATTTGACCATTTGAAATAAGATTAATCCCCCTATAATGTGTTAATTATGATTGGAGACATTGTTTACAGTGGTAGAAATATCAAACTGAATTAATTGCGTGGATTGTAAACTCATCAAATATGTTGGAAAACCCCTAGTTTGTAAAAACACATATAGATTCGGGGCCAAATGAATTAGCTTAGGCAAGCAATAAAAAGGAGAAGCACAACATTTTATTGCTTGCTCAAACAGCCCAAGTGTTCCTAAGTAATCTAAACTTAGTAAGAGGAACTTGCTAGACATGTCTACGTACAAATGAAATGCTAAAGCACATAGCAAAGCCTCACTACCTACTATTTAAAAGCATAAAAACCATGCTGGGAGTTAAGCTTGAGCTGCTCTACCTGAAGGTTCACATTTGTGATGCTGCAGTATCAGATGTCTAACACTGGGGGGCAGTGTTGGTGCAGTTTTGAGCCTTGTCCGATCTGTGAGATTCAATTTCAGGATTAAAATTTGTTTCTGATAAAACGTCTAAACTAAAAAGTCTCATGACCAATGAAATCAAAGTTTACCAAAGGGGATAACCTAGTGCTGCTCCTATATGATGGAAATACTGAACTTTACTATGAAATAAAAGGAAATCCTAGTATCGGTGCTTTTTACAGCCTGTGTATTTAATGCTATGTTGTTGTAGTTGTTTTTGTTTTCATGTTTTGAAGTGAATCAGAGTCCAGATCTGATTATGGGTGGGTTCAAATGTGAGACTCGAACACACCCAGTCTCTGCTGACTGCAGACCAGGCTGATACGTGCTGTTTGATAAATACATACCTACTGAGTAGGTTTGTGGTTGTTAACTCAAATACACTACAAACACCAGCAGTGAAAGTGCTGTGTGCAGTAAGATGATCCCTGTACTTTCAAATTAATTACAATGTTTTTAACTTAATATACATATACAATATACAGGCATGTGAATACTACATGTCCTTGAAGAACAACCTTTTATGAACTCCACAAAACAGTCATTTTTAAATTGGAGGGTTTTCAATATACTGGAAAAACTGAAATTGTAATGAAGTAAAATTTACATTATTATATTATTATATAATATTAGCCCCTCAATTTGCAGTCCTTTCAAAAATTGTTTCAAAACAGCTATGCCAAATTTCTTTTTCTGAAGATTATTCATAGCACCAAAACACTAAACTCACACAGTTTTCTCACACAGCTGAGCTCAACATCTGCTGACTGATTTCAATGTTATTTTGCACTTGAACAACACGCCTGTAAGTCACAGGATCCAATGAGCTCTGCTTAAACCATCCTGAATTGATTTAACTGTGCTTGTTCTACCGGATATCCAATACAAAAGGAGTCCTGCTGCTCTCTGTGCATTAAAATACAAATGCCTTATAAAACTACACAGCAGATAAGTATCTGATGAGCCAAAACTCTGATCAGTACATTTGCTCTTCTTCAGGAATCATTTGATGGTGTCACCAGCACCTGAAACAGCATGTTCCCCCTCCTCTTGCCATGGTCTGAATACCCAACAATAAACTGTATCCCTGATACCTCACGCTGATACCTGTCTCTGCTCAAACCCACAAGAATAGTGGGTTGCAAAGTAGTGTTCATTATAAATATATCTTAACCCGAAACATATCCTCTTAGGTATCTGCAACATGTTGCTTCCCAGTGTGTAAACTATGCAGTCGTCCGTGGTCATGGAAAGCAGCAGAGCCCAACCCAGGAGGTTATTTCCGTCCCTCGGCTAACTATCCAAAAACGCACAGTCTCCACCCATTCAGTGACCCATGAAGTGTGTCTGTGGTGGGAGGGGCAGCTTGGGTTTAGGTCTTCTGTGGACACTTGATGGAGCTGCTCAAAAATATTGAGTTCAGGTGCACCTGTGATGGGATGGGATTTAAAAAGATGTGCTCTAATTTAATGTGTGGATCCGTAATCTTCGCTTTGTGAGGTTGTAAAATTAGATTTGTACCTTGAAACTTTTTCAAGGTACAAAGGCTTACAAAATTTATATCTTTATCTGTGGAGCACTTATCACTGCAGCATCAAGCTGCACCGCCCACTAAATGCTGTTACGGAAAAAGTCTCTGCTGCCAGGGGGCCACTTCAGTTTGTTTGTGCCAACCTCAGGACCACCCAATTTACTCTTTTACTAGCTGCACTGTGACAGATTGATATATTTTTCTCTTTTTGCTACTCTTTGTGCAGATGTTTCAGTGCCAAGGTGCTTAGAAGCGCAGGGAACACTAACATAATAAGTATTGTGTGTGTGTGACATTTTGTTTTTATCTTGAGAATGACAATTAAACAACAGTATTTGCTCCTGAGTGGGAAGACGGCATCTGTATGTGAAATATTTATGCCCCAGATTGTTTGAGGTGATGTTGATCTTGCTCTAAGTGTTTTCTGTGAAGATACTAAGCTGCTTTGGGAAATTAAAAACTGAGGAAAAGGTTTGGTGTTAGAGGTTTGGTGATCCAGGTTTGTACTTTAGTATTTTATTTTAAAAAATGAATAAATGGAAGATAAAAGGAGATGGAGAGAGAAACTGTAACCATGTTTTTTATAAAGGGAACAAGTATATGGTCAGAGAAGTATGTGAGGCTGGTGCAGGATATGTATGAGGACAGCAAGATAGTGGTGAGCTGTGCGGTAGGACTGACAGATGAGTTCAAAGAGGGATTGGGATCATCAGAGATCAGCTCTTGTTTGGAGGTTGATAGATGAGGTCAGTCTCCGTGGGCTATGATGTTTGCAGATGATATTGTGATCTGTAGGGAGGGTGGGGAGAAGGTGAAGACAGCCTGGAGAGGTGGAGGTATGCACTGGAGATAAGAGGCATAAAAGCAGAAGCAAGACAGAATGACTGTTAATGCGGGAGAGGCAAGAGGGAAGGTGAAGATGCAAGAAAGAGTAGTGAGGATGGATTGTTTTAAATACCTGGGGTGAACCATCCAAAGAGACAGATATAGTACAAGAGAGGTGAAGAAGAGAGGGTGGACGGGGTAGAGTGGGTGGAGATGAGTCTCAGGGCAAAGTAGAGTTGGAGATGCTCAGATTATCATTTGGAGTTACCAGAATGGATAAGATTAGAAATGAATACATTAGAGCAGGGGTGGCGGAACTCCAGGCCTCGAGGGCCGGTGTCCTGCAGGTTTTAGATTTCACCCTGGGTCAACACACCTGAGTCAAATGATTAGCTCATTAACAGGCCTCTGGAGAACTTTAAGACATGTTGAGGAGGTCGTTTAGCCATTTAAATCAGCTGTGTTGGAACAAGGACACATCTAAAACCTACAGGACGCTGGTCCTTGAGGCCTGGAGTTTGACACCTGTGCATTAGAGGGACAATTCGGACTGAGTACCGGGAGACAAAGTTAAAGAACATGAAGAATAGTGGATATACTGGGCAAAGGATGGTGAAGGTGGAGCTTTGAGGTGAGAGGAAAAGAGGAAGATTACAGAACAGACTCACTGATGTAGTGAAGAAGACATGCAGATGGCTGTTGTCACTGAGGAGGGTGCAGGGCAGGGTGAGATAGGGGTAGAGATTTTTTAATTACTTCCTCAAAAAGCTTTATTGTGATGTTTGAGTGCTGAAGTCATTGCTAATTCCTGTGGAGATAGGTGTGATTAAAGCTGATTAAATCATTAAAACTAAATGTGTGTAATTTATAGGCATTGTGAACTAACCACAGAAGCAAATGCAGTGTGAGAGAAGAATAAATGGCGTGCATTTGTGAGTAAATGCCTTCTGCCTATACTGAGCATCGGAGAGGAGGAGTGGTGTGGGAACTCTTGAGATGGCTGGATACCAGGCACGTAGCAGCTTTCTGAATTAACTGCAGAGGTCTGCAGGTCCCCCTACCTTGGGTTATAGAGGAAAAATGATGGCAGTGGGGTACTGCTGCAGTGAAAAGTGTAAGCAGGCGTGTCTAAACTGGAGAAGGGATTCTAGAAGACGATCAGTGACAGTACAGGTTTATTTTATAGGATGTGCGCCTCTGATTGAATCGCCTTCAAATAAGGCAACACACAAATGGGAAGAGGGAACAGCAATACCAGCATGTGGAAGTGTCAGCAACAGGCGTGGCTGTCCTCTTCTTCTAAGTGAGTGACATGTGAGCCTCTGACCCTTCAGCCTACTCTTTCAGACCATTTCCAGGTGGTGGCAGATTGTGGAAATTTCTCCCTGCACTTTCTTGCTCTAGTTAAGGTATCAACAACACCAGAGAATACGTTTGAAAGAGTCTGACTCCTTTCTTTGTTCTAGCCTTCATTCGCCCGTCTTGGAGGATATGCTGCATGCATGTCATGTCAGAGTGCCTAATTACCTCTTTTCTACTTTCAATTAGCAGTCATGTCAACCTCCAACTGGGAAAGTCGTATTTTTTTAAGGCTCCAAGGTAACAAAAAGAATTGAGTATGAGCAACAGAAAGATAACATCAGCCAAAGTCTGTGGTTCAAAATAATACTTTCTCCTATATCTCATATAGTCTCTTATATCGTATTAGTTTCAAAATCACAACATAGCAGCCCAATTTATGTTCAGTTATATGACATAAGCTTTGTGTCTTTATTAATCCTCATGTTTATTGATAAAACGGACTGGAAAAATCACCACTAGTATTTGCTAACACAAGTAAATGTATAGAAATCCTCCCATGGGATGTGGAAATTGCACTCTGCCTGAGTGGATCTTCTTTTGTCTGAACGCTGCGTGCCAGGAGGGCAGACACAACTCTGGAGCTATCATTATGATTAAAGGCTAAGCCCAGACTCACACTGGCAGGTGAACACCATTAAGTCTTAAACCATATCTAAAATCTTGTACACTTGTACTTAAACGTGCTATTTTGAGGTTTCAGTATGTTCAAACCAACAAGTGATGCACTAATAACAGTCAACATGTTGGCCCCCCGAAAACGCATAACCTTAAACGATAAC